CGTGTCAGCTGTTCCAATTGCCTGGTGTTTCAGGGCTCTCAATTACCATGGACCTGATGCATTGTTTGCATTTAGGCTGGCTCCAGTATGCCTACGCGTCTGTATTTTCTCTCATTGTCTCAGACTGCTTGACGGGAACGCCATTGGAGAATTTACTCGTGATCAACAAGTTTGTCAAGGACTTCCAAAGACAAAGGCCAACAAAGCATCGCTTCCGCCCCAGCCTCAACAAGCTGACAATGTATCAAACAACAAGCTGACAATGTATCAAAAAAATCATATCCTAAGCTCAAGGGTCGAGCGGCCGACGTTTACGGGTTGGCAGAGACAATGCTGCATCTTTGGGAAGCTCATATGACCTCTACAGACCGACAACATGCAATGATCAAGATTTTTTTGAAAGCGAACCTGCAAGTGCACCAGCTGCTGGAGGAGTTCCACCCAAGGTACGGCTTCATCGCCGTGCCTCTTGAGCAAGCCAACAAAATCTACGAAGGTGCGCTGCGGATGACCCAGCTGCACTGTCAGTTGCAGGAGTACTACGAGACCTCTGGAAGGAAAATATTTAACATTACAACCAAGACGCACTTTTGCTTGCATTCCCTGTGGTTGGCAAGGTACATCCACCCAAGCATCGTTTGGTGCTACAAGGGCGAGGCGACAATGCAGCGGCTCCAGAAGCTGTGGAAGAGCTGCTTGTTTGGAAAGAAGCATTGGCAGGTTGGAAAGGTTGCAGCCCACAAGGAGCGCTACCTCCTGCACTTGAAAGCGAAGCCCTAGTTTCACCGAGAGAACGGCCGGCGCCGGCGCTTCGAGTTGTGCTTGCGCAGTGCGGTTGTAAAGGTTACGTGGGGGAACGCCGCGTGAGTTGCAAGGATTTCGTTGCTTGAGAATTGAACGGGTTGCTTCGCGAAACAAGTGACAAATTACTTGCGGGGCAACCTCCGTGTGACTTGTGCTTGCCGGTGCCTCATGGGTTTTACACCGAATTTTTTACTTGTGACATGTGCAGTGTAGGTTAGACTTGCAGATATTGGTGCTTGTACTTGCAAAGCAGGAGGCCCGACTCAGGACCATCAAGCGTGCTCGTTCTTACTTGTGAAGTGGGAAGCTGAACTTTTTTTGCCGCTGACATGCATGTTCCCATGCACTCCCTCCATTGGTTTCTTCTTATTTTGTGGCGTTTTGGCTGTGTTTTTCTGGTCCCGCGCAAATTTACTAATTTTGCAAAAATAGTAAATTTTACTAGTAAATTCTTCGATTTTAGTAATTTTACTAAAATAGTAAATTTACTACTTTTGCAGACTTAGGGTAGTATACGGGGGGAGGGCTCTCGCTCCTGAGCCTCAATGTCACCTCTCTGTCCCTTGCCCGCTTGACTTCCATCTTGGACTTTGCTACCGATTGCGACGCTCACATCATCGCTCTGCAGGAGACCCGCCACCATGCTTCCCTTGGCTGGGCCGCTGACCTCGCCGCGTCGTATGGCTGGGCTTGCGCTTTTTCCAGCGCGCCGCCTGCCTTGGCTCGCGGTGGGCGGCATCCTGGTGGCACGGCGCTTCTGTGGCGTCGTGGTCTCTCCAAGTTCGCCCCTGTTCAGAGTCTCGCCTTGTCTGCTGCGGACGCGCACCGCGTCGTTGCCATTGCTTGCCCCGATTTCACTGTGGCCTCCGTTTATGGTCCTGCCCGTCACGCGGACCTCAGCTGGTTTGGCTCTGTGCTGGCCTCCTTCCCTGTGAGCGGTCGTCCAGTCTTTTTGGTTGGCGATTGGAATTGGCGCAGTGACTATGAGCTCGCCCTTCCCCCTCACCTTCAGGTTGCGTCTCCTGCCCCCTGCACCACTGCCGGCTCGGCGCCGTCTCGGTGTGTCGCCAGTTTCGGCTTGGCCCCTGGTCTGGCGCAGGTTGCGTTTCTTCACAACGTGCCGTACCATGGGGCCTTGGTGTATCGCTTGCCTGTGGTGCCCATGGTCTCTCCCACCTTGCACTCGCTTGCAGCGCGCTGGGCGCTATCAGTGGTGTGGTCCTGAGGTTGTTGGCCTTGCCCGTGATGCGCTCGCCGCTATCGATGAGGTCTTTCCCGTCTCCGCCGAGGCTGATCTTGCTGCGCGGTGGCTCCTTTGGCATCGCCGTGCTGAGTTCTTCCTCCAGCAAAGTGTCCATGCCGGCCACGCGTGTATGGAGGTGCGGCCCGAGCGTCCCAAGGGCAGCTTCCCTCGGGCCCGTTGTGTTGCCCCCGGCCCGGCTCATCGTGAAGCCGAGCCCCTTGCCTTGCGGCGGCTGCGCCGTCTTCACCGCGCCTTCGCGGAGCGTGTGCGCCATGCCGTTGCGGCCTCCGCCCCCCTTGCTCCGGCTGATGATCGCCGCTGGCAGCAAGCTGTGCGGGACGGCCTCTGCAGCGGCGCCGCTGCGCCTGCTACGTATGGGTCCGCCTTGGACTCTCTGGCGCGCAGCTGTTCCGTCTTTGACGCGCAGCTGCAACAGCAGCGCTCCCGGACATGCCGCGCTGCCTTTGCTTCTTGGTCGCGCGATGTCTGGGAGCCTGCGAAGCAAGTCCTCCGGCCCCGCTCTGTCCCTCCTGCCTTCACTGCCGAGGAGATGGCCTGCTCCTGGCGTGCCGTTTGGTGTCCCGCCCCGGCCTCTGCCTCCGACCCGCCGCGGGTCGACGCGTGGCGCGCCTTGGCTTCTGGCGCTGGCCCGCCGCCTGCGCCGTGCGAGGCCCCTTCTCTGCCTTCCCTGGACGCGTTCCGGGCTGCTGTCCGTTCCTTGTACGACAGTCGCCCCATTTCCGTGGCTTCCGTCCTTGTCCGCTCATGGCACAAGGCCTTGCTGTCTTGCTGGCCTGCCCCTCGCTGGGCAGTGGTGTGGCCGGAAAGGGGAGTCTGTGGTCTCTGCTACGGATTGGCTGGCCCGTCCTATGCGCGCTGGCGCTGAGCTCGACTTGAGCAAGGCCTTCGACACGGTGGATTACCCTGTGGCTGAGGCCGCCCTGCTTCACCACGGCGTCCACCCGGCTGTGTGCCACCTTGTCCGTCAGGCTTGGGCCGCGCCCCGTCACTGTTGTGTTCACGGCGCGTTGGCTGCCCCGATTCGTCCTTGTCGGGGCATCCCGCAAGGCGACCCCTTGTCGCCTGCCTTTGTGCTTGCTCCTTGGGCGCCCTTCCCTGGGGGGTCCGGGCGTTGGGCTTACATGGACGACCGCACTCTCGCGGAACTCGACACTGCTCCGCGCGGCGCCTTGCAGCATGGAATAGAGGCCACCGCCGCCTTCGATGCTGCGGTGGGTCTACAGGAGAACGCCGCCAAAAGGCAGGTTTGGGTTGCTGGCGAGGGCACTGTGGTTGAGCACCTGGGGTTGCGTCTCAAGCCTGATGACCCCTCTTTCCCCATCTGTCCGCGTGACTCTTGGGCGGGCGCCAGTGAGGTCATCGCCCGGCTGGCTACAATTCCGGGCCCTGCCAGCGTGCGCGAGCATCTCGCTAGCGCCTTCGTCCTGCCGTACTTCCGTTGGGCTGCCCCGTTGCTGCACCCCGCCCCTCCCGCTTTGGCTCCTCGGCTTTTTCGCGCTGTGCTTGCCACCGACTGTAGCTGGTGGTGCCCTGGTCGCTGGTGGGCTCAGCGTGTCCAGCTACATCCTGTTCTGCGGGCTGCGGTCCATTGCGTGAAGCGTGCTTCAACTTGTGCTCGCTCCTTCTCGCCTCACCTGCAGGAGGCCGTCTCTGCTCAGCTCGTTCAGCTTGGCTTTGTCTTTGAGTCGCTGACTGTTGCTGGTGGGTTGCAGGTGTCTCTCCCGCGGGGCGCTGATCCCCGTCTGCGGCACCTGGTCGAGTCTCGATGCGGCCCTGTTGCGCCGCGCTTGCGGATGGTAGCTTGCGCTTCAGAGCTGACACGCCGCCCGGTCTCCACTGCGCTCGGCAGGCTGCTCGCCTCGTCTCCCTTGGCGAGGTCAGCCGTGGCCGGCGGGATGTTGACGGCCTTGGGCAGGTTGACGTTGAGGCCTCCTGCCACCCCGTGTGGAAGCGTTGGGTTGCTGCGCTCTGCCACCGGGACGCTTGGCTCCTCGGTGTCTTTCGCTCTGGCGCGTGCTGGACACCCACACGCCGTTTTGCCCGCGGTGCTGCCGATGCGCTGCGTTCTGCTTGCCCTTGGTGCCACGCCCCCTGGGCTTCCGCGCGGCACTTCTTCGAGGACTGCCCTCAGTTCGCCTCGCTTCGTGCCTCACTTGCGGCGGAACATGCGTTGCCTGCCGCATGGTGGACTTCGCAGGCCCGTGTCACTTCCAAATCGGGTTGGATCTGCTTGGCTGCTGCGGCTTCGGTCCCGGCGCGTGCTTCTGCCCAGGTTGCCGCTTGCTCCTTGGGTCTCGCTATCATGCATGCCTTGGCTCTGGATCACCCCGACCACCCTGCTGGGCGTCGCCCGTCGCGCTTGTCCGCCAGTGACTTCGATCCTGGTTGAACCTTGTCGCTTGGCCCGCCTGCCTACCCCGTTGGTCTGCGTCCTGCGTGGCCTGTTTGTGAGGGTGGCTTGCTCTTTGCCCCTTCTGGGTTCGTCTTTTTCCGTGGTAACTGTCGTTTACTATTGAGCCTCTCTGTGTGCCTGGCTTTGGCCCTTGTTGGCAGCAGCCTGTGCGCCTGTGCGTGTGCCGCGTGGGCGCTGCGCTGGTCATGCTGGTGCACGAGATGAACTGCGCGGGGCTTTCCCCCGCTGCGCATCCAGGGGCGGTGGCCCCACCAGTGCCTCAACCCGCGTCAGGTTGGCACTTTCACCCGCCCGTTCTGTGCTGTTCAACCCAAGCATGGTGATGTGGAAAGACCAGTCACATGGCAGGGACACCCGGCCACGATCGCTGTTTGAATACGAGATTTCTGAAGGAGCAGCTTGGCAATCGGCTGACCCGGGAAAACATGTGTTTTTCCACCAAGATTCGAGACTGGAATTGGTTGAAGACCAAGAGGGGGTTTGGGTGAATCGCTCGCGATGGCATGGCCAGATGGTCAGGCCGAGAAGTTGGCGCCCCGCTCGACCATGGAGACTTAGCTGAGGAACCGGTCAGGTCAGGTCATAGCATTTCTGAGAGAACTTTTCTGCATGCAAAATAATTTCAGTGGATGGACAAAGTCCGTTCGCACCACTTTGAAACCATGGGACACCATTGTTCGCATATCATCAGAAACCAGGGTTTCTTTTGTGGTGCAGGGTTTTGTCCATCCACAGTCTGGGTGTGTATTGTTGAGGGTAATTACAGTTGTTTGTGGTTTCTAAATGGCAACTATCAGGAAAGCCACCATTTTGTAGGGTCCCCTAAGAAAAGACACACTCATATGCCCCCAGGCCACATTGACAGAAACTAAGTGCCATTGGTTTTCCAGAGCTTGGCCATTTGGCGCCCAGTTCTTCAAAGCCTCCCTGAACCAATCCTCGGGGGTGAGGACCTTTGGGGCTTTTTAGTCCTTTGCCATGACCGGATGGGTGCATGTAGCGGGGGTCAAGGGGCCCTCTCACTAACAAGGATGCCCGACTTGCTGAATGCGACCGAGGGATATAGTTTCGTCCTTCCTTGTTGTCATGGCGCGGCATGGTTGCGCTTCTTTGAAGAGAGTCCCCAAAAAGGTCACCATAGTGTCGGGTTTTGTGTTTGTGGTCAGGTGGGTAGCATGACTGGTGCCCTTGGTTTGTTTGGCCTTGTGTTCGGCTTGGCCTCGCTCTTGCTGGCACTGCTGTAGAACCCGCAAATTTTGACTTGCCCTTTGGTTTTGCTGCATGGAAAGGCTCCAAGTGCATACTTTCACGCCTGCGGCAGGCTCATTGAATCTGCAGTGCGCTTACAGCCTCACCCGGCTTTAGGCGTTCAATGCTCCGATTTTTGCAATACGATTGTTGGGTATTTGAGGCGGATGGCCAACAGAGGCGGTGGGAAGAGCGGGCCGGGCGACTGACTTGGCGCTCAGGACAGCTTCTTTCCCCCCGCCTCTCTGCGGCCCAAGGAGATGTGGGGCATGAAAGCGGCAGCTCGGACGACTTGTTTTGCAGACGGCTGGGAAGGTGGGTTACTCGATCCAGGCGGCCGATCCTGAGTTTGCATCAATCGTGGCAGAAGCCATGCGCCTACATCAAAACCAGCAATCCAGCTTCTGCGTACTGCTATGGTTGCTTTTGCTGCCAACCTTCAGAGGAGAACCAGGCGAATCTCTTTGAAAGCATGTCACCACAGAGGTCTTGGTTAAGGCTCACCTCTGGCGAGCGCCGGCCAAGCTGAGGAGAGCACTGGCATCGGCGAGAAGGAGTTCGCAATGAAGATCAAGATGGGGGCAGACTTCGTGGGCACGACAGGCAACGTGGACACATAACTACGTGAAAGCGTCAAAGCCACAGAAAGCAACCCTAAGCATTTTCGCCAGGGTCGCAGGGTCCATAATGAATGGTCAGCACACGTAGCCAAGCCACTGGTGATACTGAGGGTTGGTATGATTGGTAGGGATGGTCACCAGGGTCTAAAGCCCTGCTGTATCAGGGTTGAATGCATGTCAAGATGTCGTTGGGATTCTCATGAAGTTTTCCTCCGTGTGAGTTTGAAAGAAACAATTCCAGGAAATGTTTGTGAACCATGACGTTTGCGAGTTCCAGCAATGACGCACATATCTTGCCTCTACTAATTACTTCCGCCACGTGAGCAAAGCATCGGGTGATGCAGCAAACTGCGACAAGTGATGATTCACCGCAAACTCAATTTGTGCTTCCAGCTGATTTTTGAAATACATACTGCACTGCAAAGGACGCTTGTGGCCAATGTGTCCAATTTTTCCCTGAATTGCGAACAACGGACCAGGGCGAGCAGCTAGATGGTCCGTGTATCCTGGTGCTATGTTCTTTGGAGGAAGGGTAGCATGGCTTCAGATTCCGCGCGGTGCGACCGTCTTTTTGTTTGTTTTTCTTTTGCGCAGGCAAGGCGCTCTTCCCTGCCGTGTGCTCGACACCGGCGTTCCTGCAGAAGTACAAGCCGCACGGCCGAAGGCAAAGCCAAGTTGCACGTGATCATCTCCTTTCTAGTGCCTTTCTGTGGGGGTTGGGCACGGGTCTTGGCAGCAGATCATGTTGTGTTGAAGGTTTCTCTTGGCAGTTTGAGTGGGGGGGGGGGGACGGCAAACGAAGTTCCAAGAGTTGCCAAACTACAAAGGCTGTGTTGGATCTGTTAAGTTATGTGCTGGCTTGAAGGAACTCGGTAATTTCTCTCTTTGAGTGCACTTTGACAAACCCGCGTGTCTTTGCGAATAACGTCGAGCTCACCTGGGTGTCAAACGAGCTTGATTACATACCCTGTGAATTGCAATTGTTTACCCATATATTTGGACTCTCTACGTTAAATGATTCCAAAGGACGACTCCTAACGCTGTGATCTGCAGCCTGGCTGAAGGGGCTTAAGTCACACCCGGCAGCCGCCACGAGCGCGCGTTTCGAAGTCATGGCTGCGCTCAGGAAGATCCTGGCGATTTCCAACGCCTACACTGCCGAGATGAACTGGTGGTGCAACCGAAATCCGGAGCCTCGGCAGACTCTTGCTGTTTGCTGCCCGGTTCAGTGATACCCAGATCCCTTGCGGCGTTGGCCGCGCCGCTACTTTCCAACCTTTACGCTTCCAAGGCGGGCGTGCACTAGGACTCGCTTTGCTGCAGTCTTGGCCACGCCGTAAATGGGGCCTGTTTGCTTTGGGCAGTGGCTCGCTGAAAGGCCAAACAGCCAAATGGGCCCGGAAAATGAGGTCACCTACCCCAATGTTCCCGCAGAGCTATCTGAATCTGGGCATGCCGCTAAGTCTAGGATCACTGGCATGCAGCCCATGCCTTGGCAAACCGGCGCATCCGATTGAAGCGCCAAAAGCTGTTCATGCTCAAAGCACTCGTCGAGAGCCAATCGCTTCCGGGAAGGCAGCTTCGATTTTTGCAAACGGACGTGCGCACTGAGATATTTGGTCCATGTGGCTGAGTTCAATGCCAGCCCTTGCGCAAGCCGCCATGCCTAGCCTTGACGCTCGCTGCATGAAATTGCACTTCTACGTTGAAGAGGGCGGCTCAGGAGGAAATGCATTAGTGTAATGCACTATGGCTCAATTCGGGGACGCTCATCTTTTTTGTCAATGAATGCGCCAGTTAGTTCACAATTCTTTGTATACGCCTTAGTTGGACATGTGTCTGTGTTGCAGAATGGGCTTCACATTGCCTAAGACGAAGGCAACTGACAGCAGTCGTTTGGAACCAAACCTGCAGAGACCACAAGGCAGAGCTGAATTGTATGGCGACCTGACTCAGAATTCAGGTACGTTCACTCATTGGGTTGACTGGGAAAGAACGAATTCTCCAGGGAGCAAGCTCAGAAACGGACCATGACGCATGTCGTTTTACCTTTTTCTTTGGGTTCGCACCCGAAGATGGTCAACCCCAAGATGCCTTGTTGCCTTTCCTTTCTGTGTTCTCGAGCATAAAGCAGTCCACCCCAACCCAGACATGGTTCCCTTATACAGTTCAGGTCACTCGCGAGCGCCTGAGGACTACATCGCTTGGAGCCACGGCAACCTGAACGTGGACAACGTCTTCTTCTTCCGTGATGCCGATGGCAAGCTTGACCTGGGCGTACTCGATTGGGGAGGCCGGGATGCGGTCCTTGAAGTTCTGAGGTTCTGGCGTCTTTTTTGGGAGCAGGCAGTTGTGTCCTTTCCGTTCAGTTTGGCGAAAGAATGACGGATTCCAGAATCGTTCGGACGAAGGACTAGCAGAATGACTTCAGTTCATTTTGGTCCGAATCATTGATCAGCGTCTTTTTGTTCCAAGGGCCCTGGGACCTATGGTTGGTGCTTGAAGATGTGAAGGGAGGCCAGGCCCGTGACCCATGGGCAATGCTCAAATTGGTGGCTCCGGTTTCCCTTGAACAGGGGCTTTGAAGAGCCAAATTTGGGGGGTCCATTCCGCGAAAAGAACACCCTCCCTCGATTGAAAGCTTGACACCAGGCCGGCCAGAAGGAATGGAAGCCCACTTTGGTTGAAGAAAACAAGCAACGGCAAGAGGAAGCTCATCATACCTTGTGGAAGCTGAATGAGGCCCTGAATTTGAACCCTAGTCCTGGAAAAGGCATTTTAAGCTTCAATTGTTTGTTTGGGAGGATGCCTTTTCTCATGCCAAAATAGGGACTCAGCGACCAGGGCCCAACGAGGTCTGAGTTTGGGCTGCTCTTGGTCTCCTTATCTCTCAGGTGTCCTTACCCGTCGAACTCTGCACCCAACCCGACATGGATCTCACGTGTGTAGCGATGCAGAGCAGGCCTGTGCGGTAGGGTGTGTATGCATATATGCACTTGTATATACTTGCATATAAATGTACACATTGTATGTATATATATGTGAGTGATTATATATGTATAGAGACATAGATGTGTATATCTGTATATCATAGGTGTAGTTTATAACATCGTATGTAGTTATCGTTAGTGCGTCTACATTGGCACTTGTACATATACACATATATATTTATATATATCTGCATATATATATATATATGTTCCAGTCCCCAGGCCACCCCCCCCCCCCTTTTGAATGGTAGGGTCTCCCCCCCCCCCCCCCCCCCCCCCCCCCTGCCCAACCCCGAGCTCCGAGCCCACACCCCGCTGCTACGGTCACCAGACCCCCTCCTCGAGCCCCTGAACTCGCACACTTGCATCCCGACTTGTAGGACAACGCAACCCACAACCAACCCCAAACCCCAGCCCTAAACCAATCCTACACCCCTAACACTTAGCCCTAACCCTACACCCACCCTAAACCCACCCCTAAACCAACCCTAAACCAACCCCAAACCAACTCTATACCCACCAAACCAACCCACCCACCCAAGCACCCAATCTCCCGCCTCCCCCCCCCCCATCCCAGCCCCACAGGGGGGGGAGGGGCGGGGGTCCACGGCCTAGATATATATATATATACATATCGAAAGAGGACATCTTTAGATACACATGTACATCACAGGTGCCATGGGTACATTTGTTCTAGACGCGATTGGGCTGTGGGTTTCGATCGCGGTAGGTGCACGGACCGACTCGATGGGGTGGAAGCTCTGGTGGTGGCTTTACTGCTGCGAGTATGCTGCTTGGCCTGGTGGCTGCCTGTGCCCCCTGCCAGCTTCCGTTGCCTGTTCGCTAGGGCCAGGTTGAACGCTACTTGGCGATTTGCGGCGAAGTTGCCGCTGCAAGTCTCGTTGCCATGGAGTTTGTGCAAACAGTTGAGGGGCCAGGTTTGAGGATGAACCAAGAATGGATTTTGATTTTGACTGAGGACTTCTTGAACGCAAACTTGGATGCGATGCTTGATTGCTTCATCAAGGAATACGAGGCCGCGGCTTTTTGTGCCAGGACGCCAACTGCCAGCTGCGCTTGTTGAAAAGTCGGCTTCTGGATGTTCAAAGGCAGCTGTGCTAATTACGAGCCCCTTGCTGGGCGGTTCGGGGGCAGAATGCATCTTGCCCCTCATTGACCATCCGCCCTTCCGGCCTTCCTGGGTTTGACGCTGAACTCGGATGATTCAAATAGCGACATTAAGGAATTATGCATAAGACCCATGGTGGATTTGTCTTTGTTTGAGTGTCGGCACGGCCGAATCGCTGGTCGCTTCGAAGCCAAACATTCAAAGCTAAATGAGAATCGGCTCAAGCTTGTGGCATGAGTGTGTTGCGGTTGTTTCCATTTGTTTGGTGCTGGCCGTGGCCTATCCTATCCCGTGTGCGGAAATTGATGGTTTGCAAAGGGGGCTTTCACACGTTTCCGGGGTCAGGGGTGTGTTGTCGTATAGTTATTTTGGTGGTCTTGCAATGGGTGTTTCGCATTGCTTGTTGCGATGACCATATCAGCTGGGGCTGTTTGCCTTGTTCATTTTTCATCCTTGTTCTGCAAGGGACCCTTAAAATCCAGCTATTGCCCGAAAATTCTGGGGCGTTGTCCCTCTGTTGAGGGTAGTTTGAGGGGCGAGTCAGGTGTATAGCTTTCAGTTGGCCAGGCCTATGGCGGCCCCAAGCTCGACCGAGCAGAGCTGCGGTGGCAGTTCACCCTCTCCGCGCTGCAGCAAGGCGAGGGCTCCGATGGATTCGGTGAGGGAGGCAGCTGGCACTTGGTGGCCGCGACAGTCGGTTTGATGTGGTTTGTCACTTGATTTTATCCCTTGGCCTTGTTTTTGTTTGGGGGGTCTCTGCTGGCCAATGTTTGCGTGTGGGTGTGTGCATCCTGGACTTGATACCTTGTGGGAAGACCAGTGACCAGTGTAGTGCCAACCAAAAAGACTGGACTTGTTTTGGCCAATCCACTCAGGAAGTGAGGGTAGCTGTCTTTCCAGTGAGTTTCTTTGCCAATGCCCACATGTTTGCCTTTGGATTTGCTTGTTTGACTTGGCTAGCATTTGCCAGAGCAAATGTTCGCCCTGCCGCCTGCCGCACCTTTTTCCTTGTTGAGCTCAGTTAAGGCATGGGTGGGTCAACCAAAAGAGGTTCTGAAGCATTAGATGGCAACGGCGCCTCAGACATGCTGCAACGTATGAATTGCATGGCGCACAGTAAAAGGGGGCCGGTGGACATATATCCCCATGTCTTCTTTGAAGGACAGGTTTGCGGGTTTCTTACAAAACAGGGATTGGTTTGTAGCCCAACTAATCGAGTCACTTGGTCACATCAGGCCCCTTTCACATGTGCATGTTGATTCCTTTCGGGAGCTTTTCACCTGGTTTACGGTGCCCGCCATACCCGAGAACCCCCCTCCCCTCCTGCGTGTGAGACGCAAAGTCGCTACAGGTGTTGGCCTGCTGGGTGCTGTGCCCCAGATCTACAAGATGTGCAAGAAGACCGTGGCCGGGCTGCATGCGGGACATCCCGACCAACCATGGACACCCCCTCAGTGGATCCCATCTTCAATGACTCAGCATCCTTGTGGTTTAGCGGGTTCCCCACGAAATCTGGTCACTGTTCCATCCCCCAAATTCCATGATCACAAGCACCCCACATCCCAAGCCAAAGATGCTTGCGGACGATGCGCATCTAAAGCATGCCCGAAGGCTAGCAGCCTGGCGTGCAATTCCAATGCAAAACCAACAGAAAGGACAATTTGCCCACTGCCACACTCCAATGATTCTCGAACGATTCTCCAAGGACGTAGATTATCCCGTCTTAAATTTGGAACATAGAGGTACCGCAAGCTTTGTCAGCTCACCAAGGCTTTTAAGAGCCACCCTCTGAAGACCCAAGGAAGTCAAAAATTACATGCGCTACATGTTGAAGAGCCAGATGTAATAATCCGGTATCTGGCATGTTGAGGATCGTAGGACTTCAACGTGTCGGTTGACACTGGTCGGATGTTCCGAATTGGACCCACGCCAGAGGTCAGCTGTTCCGAATTGGACCTACAAAAAGTGAAACACTTTGCAGAGGGTTGGTTTCACCAACCAAGGTAGACCTGGCTATGAATTCCAAGAAAGAGACCCCGTCAAAAGTGGGAGGACTTCAATCCACACTGAAAGTTGATGTCCTCCAATAGGTGGCCAATTCAAATTCATAGCCACTTTGTTCCGTCAACACAGCAACCAAGGGATTTCTTTGGAGTTTCCATAGCGACTGACGGCTCTGTTGGTAGCACGGTGGAAGGCCTCGTCTGTCATTCTGAGGAACGCCTTGTGGGGTTGTTTGAAGGGAAGCCAAAAGGAACGCCCTCAGTTTTGTGTTTGTTCAATTTGCTTCAAAGGGCAACCAAAAGGACAACCACCCATTTTGGGGGGTCTCCTATTTTACGACACACCCGTATGCTTCTTTGACGCGGCCGATGTGCGTAGGCATGCTTGGCAGTTTAGCATGCCTTGCTGACAATCAAACAAGAGCATTGTGTTGTGTAAGAGATCTTTTCCGGGTAGACAACTTGGAGCACTTAGGCAAGGCGAGATTCCAGCGCTGGTCGGGGTGTTGGGACCCCGTTCCGTATGGCCAGGGCAAGTGGTACGTGGCACACGCGGGGGGGTCAGCATGGCAATTCAGGAATTTGCGACCATCACCGACCGCAAAGACCCACGGATTGCGAAGAACATTGATGGCAAGAACACTCTCCGGATCTACATTGGACCCTGGGCGAAGCTTCAGTGTGCCCATTCTGAAGGAACAAAATTGCAGGGGCCTGGCCATTGAAAGCTAGGGGCCGATGTTTGTTGGTCATTCGTTCGCGGGAGAAAGCCGGCGCGCCTCAGGAACCTTCATCAACATCTGCACCTTGGGCAAGAAAGGCACAAAACCTGAGGTTGGCGCCAAAAGTGTTTCTTTCTTCACTTGGCTGGCCGCAGTCAAGCCGTTAGCAAAGTCAGCAGGTTTCATGGACAAGACTGGTCAGACAATTTGCATTGCTGGCTGACAACCAGAAAAAAGAGAGGGGAGTTGTATGTGTTTGGTTCTGGGCATTCCTTGCGCATAGACTTGGCGTACGAATAAAAAAAAGAAAACATCCCGCACTATGTTAATGAATGGAGGTCGTAAGCCTGTTCTGGTGGCTGCAGCTTGCATTGACGTGTAGGGACGGCCAAGGCTTCATTTAGAGATATGTTGCAATGTGCATGCTCAAGGCAACATGATCAAAGACTGGGACATCGAGACTCAGCTCCACCACTGGGTGAAGGAAGTCTGTGCAGCTACCGGCATTCCTGAGAAGAAGGTGACGGTAGAGTAGCTTCTTTTGCATCTCTGACCGCGGTTCGCGCGCGCGGTTCATAGGTTCGCAGCTCGCGGCTTCGGCCATGGAAAGCCTGGCCTCCGCCGATGTGCAAAGGGACACACGACTGCCGACGTGAGCCTGTCCGAGCGAAATGCTCAGAGGATGTTTGTCGCATAGATCTTTTGGACCTATTTTCCAGCTCCAATGCGGGCGTATGCGGGCAATTGCGGAAAATGGGTGTGCGCTGCCTGATGTTGATGTCGCCAGGGCAGCAGCTTTTGTGACTGTGGATCCAGGGTTGAGGCATGGAGCCCTTTAAGTCTTAAACCTGCTATTCCTGAGGCCTCCAATGTAGGTAATGCCTCAAAGATGGGAACTTACAACTTGCGGGTCAAGCATGTTACAGGTTTGGTTTTCTATTGTTTCACTAACCTTTCAAGCTTGCCGCAGACTCAAAGAGCCGCTGTCTGAGCAGGCTGACAGGTTCAGCGAATGCGGATTGTGGCCCTCAACTTTTTGTTTGCTTAGCTCCCAGGAACGCTCATGAAGGAACCCCTCGCTCTGATCATGTCCAGGCCACCTGTCCCCATCCAAGGCATCGGTTTATGCCTTTCGGACGTGCGCGCATTATATTTTTGGCGCATCGAGCTGATTGTTGGGGGACAGATAGTGGGAACTTCGGATTCATTTGCAGGACCGTAACTGCATGCTCCTTGGCAAAGGCGTCCTCTTTAGCACCAGTTTGGTTCAACATGGCCCTGGCTTTTGGTCCGGACTGCCTGCGCCAGAGTCGTCTGAGCGACCCATTTTCCGAAAATTGAATAGGTATTGATGTGGTCAGAATGCCAAACAACTTGAGATTGCGCTGATGGCCCACAAAAAAATAAAAAAATAAAAATCCCAAACGACCTGGGAAAGGAGGGCTTGCCCCAGGTTTGCAGGTGGGGTCTGTTGGCCGTTTGGCACTTCTCGCGCGCCCTTCAGGCGTCAGCCAAGTGGCCCAGCCCGACTGCGTCTCAGATCTGGTTGGGTGGGAGATCCAGAGATGCCAAAACCTGCCTTCAACACCACTTGGAGGTTTGCTTGTGAAGGAGACTTTTTTGTAGCCAGTATTGGAGTTTAAGGCAGTAGATACCCTTTTTGACGCGGTATGACACTTCCACTCCAAAACCCATGCCAGCAAATTGCCTTGATGACCTGTCAAAATCAGGTGGCTTGCTGGTGTGCTGAAATGCCGTCCATGCATTGCGCGGCATAGCTGTTCGGATTGGCATTTGTTTTGTTGTCGTTTGGTCCTAGGTTTGAACTTTCTTTCTCTGACAGATTGCGCTGCTTTACTTCTAGATACCAACAAGTCCAATCTGTTTTTCGGGTAGGTGATCGGCGATCGGCCTTATCGAACCACTCAGGGCGCGTGAGGACGAGGACCCGGCGGTGGAAACCTGTGACTGCCACCCTGGCAGCCACTTGGATAGTCAACCCCATTTTTAGATGACAGCCATGAGTGTTGTTTGCGGACTACCCCTCAGTTATGGCAGTTATAACCTCGTCATTTGCCTAGTTTCCAATTGGATTGAACATCCAAGCACCTCCACGAAAAAGGAATCTGGCAGCAGGCTTTTGTCGAGGGAAAAGTTGGAATCCTGAATGGCTTTGGTTGGTTGCTTTAATGGGCAAACAGGATGCAGCTGCGTGTTGGCCAGTTTGAAACACTCTTGGGCTGTTCTGCGCTGTGCTTGTTTGGCTTGATGTTTGCGAGGATTTCTGCACCGTGAGCGACCGCGCGTGCCTTGGCGAAGACGACGGTGATTCGAACGGCGTCGGCGACAGTCGGAGTGCCTGTTGGCGAGCGCGTCGCCACACAGACATCGGGGCGCACCTGGGGCGACGGTTTGCGTCGGCGCAGGCGTCGGCGACCATGACGGCGGGTTGCAAGAATTGCAGAAGCCTGGGTAGAAGTAAGGTTCTTCTAGAGAATCCGCTGCCTTTGCTTCTCTTGGCAAGGAGCCAAAGAAAAGACCTCAAAGCGTGGAGGAGCCAAAGGGTTGCAAGACTTCGGCTAGCCCCCCAATTTTTCTTCCTGTTCAAAACTCGGGCGAGCGCAGAGTCGAAGTAGATGGCACAACTCTCGTCACCCATAAGGGAATTATGCCATCTACCTTCGTCACAACACTCGTGGAAGCTGACGGAACAAAGGGCACTTCCGTCCTGGTGCATAATGAGGGTGGGTGTGCGTAGTTTAGGCATCCCATGAGTCAAAACCACAAGATTACAGTGGAGCGCGATTGTTGGGAGAGGCTACTTTCACGCAGGATCCAGTTGAACACTTCTTCCTTTTAGGATTTGTTTTTATCCTGCGTCATTGATCCAGTTGCAACCTCAATTTTTGCATACGTGTCAGGAGCCAAAGAAAAGCTCCAACCTGCTGGACACGCTGCAGCGTGTGGCACGAGAGACGAGGTCGGAGCCGGCTTCGGCCAAGCCGCTGCCGAAGCGGGCGCTGCCAAAGCCGCTGCCCAAGCCGCCGCCCATGCCGGACCGGAAACGGGCGGGGGGCGTGGACTCGGGGTGCGTGCTTTTTTGGGAGTTCTAGGTCTCCCAGCACTGCCCTTTGACATTTTTGGGGGGGGAGGGTTCCCCTAAGATAGACTACAGAGAAAAGGGCACCCTTATTCCAATCTCTACGGAAGGGCCTAGAGTTGGTACGCCTTAGTGGATTTGGGATGGGGTCCCCTGAAAGGAGACACACCCCTTTCCGGAGATTTCATGGACGGGGAGGTTGCCCACAAGGATGGATGCTGTCTTCTCACACCTGCCCGTCAGCTTCCAAGATTGCTAGAGGGAGGGTGTGGTGTGTGTGTGTGTGGTGTGTGTGTGTGTGTGGTGTGTGTGTGTGTGTGGTGTGTGTGTGTGTGGTGTGTGTGTGTGTGTGTGGTGTGTGTGTGTGTGTGGTGTGTGTGTGTGTGGTGTGTGTGTGTGGTGTGCGTGTGTGTGGTGTGTGTGTGGTGTGTGTGTGTGTGTGTGGTGTGTGTGTGTGTGGTGTGTGTGTGTGTGGTGTGTGTGTGTGTGGTGTGTGTGTGTGTGTGTGTGTGTGTGTGGTGTGTGTGTGTGTGTGTGTGGTGTGTGTGTGTGTGTGTGTGTGTGTGTGTGGTGTGTGTGTGTGTGTGTGTGTGTGTGTGTGTGTGTGGTGTGTGTGTGTGGTGTGTGTGTGGTGTGTGTGTGGTGCGTGTGTGTGTTTGTGTGGTGTGTGTGTGTGTGGTGTGTGTGTGTGTGGGGTGCGTGTGTGTGGTGTGTGTGTGTGTGGTGTGTGTGTGTGTGGTGTGTGTGTGTGTGGTGTGTGTGTGTGTGGTGTGTGTGTGTGTTTGTGTGTGTGTGTGCCTGGTTGTTTGTATGTCTGTGTGTGTGTGTGTGTGTGTGTGTGTTTGCGTTTGTGTCTGTATTTGTGTTGAATGTTTGTGGCTGGTTGTTTTGTTTCGTGTGATGTTTGTCATTTCCCGCTGCGGTTGCCGGCGGTTGCCAGTTGTTGGGTGTTGGTTGTCCTTGTGTTCGCAGTTGTTAGCCTAGAATGTTTTTTGTTTCAATGATTATTGTTCATTCGTCGATTGCCTGGGTGGAAGAACGGTCGTGTTGATTGTAGTGACGGTGCTGGCACTGGGGTTGGTGAGAATGATGATTCCGCTTTGCGGGCCAGCTGCTAGCCTGGTTCTGCGTGTTCGGGAAGAGCCTGTAAAGGAGACAATTGGTTTGGTTTCCGTTGCTTCGCCTTGTGTAACCACTTGCCAGCTCTCTACCCTTCCGCGAGAATTTCGGAGCAACCCCGTTTCCAGTGATGGAAATTGGATCACTGACGGGGCATTCAGTGCGCAGTAGTCAAACCAAGGTGGAGAGCCAAGCTGCATGTCTTGCCTCACTACTGTCACCCAGACTCTCAGACTCTCATAATTTGAATGAGCCCGCCCACCGATTCCAGCGCAGGATCCGATGCAAGAGTTCTACGTCCAACGGAGCTCCAGCCAAAGCCAGAAGACTGAGCTCTCTTACGACCAGATGCAATCGCATGCCCAGACATGGCAGGGCCAGGCACAAAACATTGCGTCTGGCGAGCAGGTGCAGCAGTTTCAAGCACCCGACAGCTGGCAGATGCGCTCACCACACAGTGATCCACTGGCGCAGCACACGCGAAGCCCTCAGTTGCTGTGATGTAAGCAACGCTCCCTGCAAACGTGTCCAGGGGATGCTCGGGGTGCACAGCTTTCTGTCCCTATTTGTCGGCGCAAATCGTACCTCGATTTGACAATGTACCAAGATCACTGGGGCATAGCGCCCTTTCCCACAATCATAGCAGTGCGGGCGGGGGGGCGGGGGGGGTTGGGACATCTCAAACGTCTCAAAAGGGCTTCCTGTCCACTTTCATGGGGCTTGGAGCCTGACGACAGTCCGGCACTGAGGCCAGATCCTCCCCTGCCAAAGCCGCAGGCACGATAACGAGAAGGGCAATGCCTTCATGAGTTTTCGTATTCGGCTACTGTGGGCGTTTCTGCAAACATCTTGAAACAAGGTCGCTTCAAAGTGTTTAGCGGTGAGGTGCCGGATAAGGTAAAAACCTTGGTCGCAAGTCTTTCAGCCTCGCCTTTTCGCCTTTTCTGCTCCCTTATGCTACTTGCGTTTTGATGGTCAGGGAAGATAGCCTTCCTGCAAGATAAGGTTTTTCAAAAAGATGACGGGTTTGGTGGTTCCCTCTCTCTTCATGTTTATAAGAAAGGCATCATGAGAACATCTATGTACAGGAACGCTTACGGTTCTTCAAATCCTGGCCATCCATTGTCCTCTTCTCGGTTTGGCAAATTTGAAACAATCTGCAGCTTAAACACACAACCTCAGCGACCCATCCCTTCAAAATGCTATACAAACGGTGACGGTGACCGGTGACGCACATAAACATTAGGGAATGCGGAACACGTACTTCTCAACTCAAAGCTTTGTAATGCTGAGCAACTGCATGCCTTTGCTCGAGAGAAAGCTTTGTATTTGTCAGCTTTCAAGAATCGGAAAGCACATGCCCCAAACTCAAATTTCGTGCCGGAGCCTAACAATAGCTACTTTGACGGAGGGGATGGATGCTTAGAGCTCGTACCGCGGAGCCTTTTATCAAGCTGTTTTGCAGCAATCTCCGGCACTTGGCACTGCCGGGTACCTACAGGCCTGAACAAGCGTCAATCAGCACTCAGCATGTT